TAATTTTTGTATGTTTAGTAGAGACGGGGTTTCACCATGTTAACCAGGATGGTCTCAAACTCCTGACCTCAGGTGATCTGCCCGCCTCAGTCTCCATGTTGGAATGACAGGCATGACCCACCTCACCAGGCCAGTTTGAACAATTTAATCCAAGATTTAAAAATCCATTCTATTTTATTTAGCTGCTCAAATATGGCTATTAACAAATCATTTAATTTATATATATGGGGAAAACTATTCCTTAGATCATTTTCAACTTGTCTGCAAGTTTACTTTCAATATTTAAGTAAGCCAAGGACATTGCTTGAAGGGGTGGAGGGAAAAGCTAATTTTGAAGTAATCTTCAAAAGGCCAACTCTAATAAGAAATGAATAAATACCTAATACGAAAGGGGAAAGAAATTTTCATTCTTGCGATAATGTTTACATTCCATTAATGTTCTGCTTCAATTGTTCTAAAATATTTTTATTTTAATAACACAATTATTAAAGACGCCTACTTAGGGAATTTTCCAATAATCCAAATTGCTATTTGAAAGAAAACTTTACCTACGGAGAAATTATTGTTTTAATTCTCCGTGATCTTAAATGAAAAATGTTAAACCCAGATCCCTCTAATTTTAAAAAGGCAGATAATAATTGCATTTAAGGGTTCCCTTCATCACTCGGTAAAAAGCATCAATTTGGCCTGGGTGTGGTGGCTCAGGCCTGTAATCCCAACAATTTGGGAGGCCGAGAAGGGCGGGTCACTTGAGGTCATGAGTTGGAGACCAGCCTGGCCAAAATGGCGAAACCCCGTCTCTAATAAAAATACAACAAATTAGCCAAGCGTGGTGGCGCGCCTTTAATCCTAACTAGTCAGTAGGCTGAGGCTGGAGAATCGCTTGAACCTGGGAGTGCAGTGAGCCGAGATCGCGCCACTGCACTCCAGCCTGGGCAACAGAGTCAGACTCTGTCTCAAAAACAAAACAAAAAAAAGTATGAACTTAAATATACATCCTTGTATAAATGCCGTGCAGGAGAGATGACAGGGAGTTTCACATAGTTGTGAAATGATGGCATTTTAAAGGAACGGTAAAAACACAGGTGTAAGTAGCTTCATCTCATTTGAATGTCTTTACTGGTCAGGAAAACCAATCACTGTCAGTGCGGGTCAAGGTCCCGATCTTTTAATAAATAAGGGAAGGGCGATGAACTGAATTGACATCTTCAGTTTTTTTCTCCTGGCAGCAGTGCCCGCATCTCACCAGGCGAGGGCAGTAAGAAGACGCTGCCTCGCCGTTCCTCACGCGCGGAGGGGCGTTCCCAGGGCCAGAAAGAGGCGGACCCTCCACCTGCACCCGCCCCAAGCCCGGGGCTTCGGTTCAAACCGTGACAAACGTCAGAGTCCTTGAGAACCCTTGGCCACTCCTGCAGCGTCACATTCCCGCGCGTGATGCCCAAGTAGGGCAGGTGAGGTCGGGAGCTCCTGGGGGATCCCGGGTCCATCTCTTGGCCTGAGACCCTGGGGCGGGCGGAATCCCGGAGAATGCAGGACGGACCCCTAGGGGAAGCCCGGGCGGCCAGCGTTCTCCCCGCCTGCGCAAACTGCAAGGAGCTGGGGATGCTGGCTGCCGGCCTCTCTCCTGGACTGCGACATTGTCACCAAATTCTATAAAGACGTCATGCAAGAAGTGATAACATGTGCTGCGACGTTCTGGAAGTAACCCCTGAAGCTAAAAAAAAAAAATCAATGAAAAAATCAGAGTAAAGAGACAATGAGATGCTATGTCAATATCTGTAGTTATGGAATAGAAAATAAATGTTACAGGGCCGGGCGCGGTGGCTCAAGCCTGTAATCCCAGCACTTTGGGAGGCCGAGGCGGGTGGATCAC